TGAATGAGGTACTCTATGTGAAGGGCTTAGAATATCAACTAGCATGCGATGAGCTCTCTATAAGAGTAAACTCTGAACCATCTCGATTCAAAAAGGTATGAAACTGACCAGTAATGAATATAGATGACTAGGTATTTGCATACGATCAACAAGATATTTAATTTAATGAAACCTTTCACAAACCTCCATTTACAAACTTGGAATTCAAAGATTTTCCTATCCTGCCTTACAAGCAGAATTGTGAAGTCATTTGAACCAACTAGAAATACAGCAGAAAGATGTTTACAACTTTATAGGAAGGATATTTCTAACCATATGTATGGCTCAAGACTAAATTCCAACTAATAATTTTGTTATGGATCTACTGAAAAAAACTATTCTATTGACTAAGTTAATGGCTAGTTAATAAAAGCTACATTTGAGATTGGACCGATTAATAAATTGTTTAGATTTCATAAAATTGTCTGAATTTCTCAAAATGCTCTTTCATACCTGGAAATACACACACAGACACACACATGCACTCACATACACACACATGGACTTATTAAGAACTTATTAAGGGTTCTTTGGGAACTATAAACTGAAACATCTATTGGTTGTTCTTCCCTACTGGCCATATTAACTGATACTATGTATTAACTACAACACAGAAGGTGATTTAAAGTGGGATATATAATTATGTATATGAGGAAATGTTCTTCATATGTACAGACAAATATAGACTATTTCAACTAAATAAAGTTGAAAACAGTGGTATAAATATGTTGAATGATTAAGAATTTTCAAGAAAAACATGATGATACCAAATTCTTATTAGAAATAAATTTTTGAATTTTTTGATTACCTTTCCCGCATGCCTTCACATGAATTTCATCTATTTTACTATTTTAATCATGATGCTTACCATGATGGAATCATAATTGTTAAACATTTCTGTATACACTCACGCATATAATTTCTCCCTTTTCTTGGGAGTTAAAAAGGGAAAATGCTTCACTAGGTTTAATTAGCAACAGCCTCATTTTTTCTAGTGGGTTTTTCTCTTTGATATTTCTTTCCCTGTTTTTGAGGCCCTAAATTTGTTTTTGAATTTGATGAAAATGTGAGTGATTACACTAATGGAAAATATTAGTATTTTTTATATAAATGCTGGTTACAAAAGATTATGGATATTAAAAATTTCATTAAAACTGGATTTCATCTTTTAAAGCATGAATTCAATAAAGAAAAAAGATTATACTTTGTCTTGTCCACACTGTTATGAGTAATTTTGATACAGTGTCTCTGGTTTCCAAGCATGAATATTAAAAATAACCGCAGCCCTCCTCAGTTTAAATGGTATGCTTCTATATACTCTGAATTAATCAGAGGGAAACCCAACGTGCCCATGAAACCTCAATTAAAAGGAAAATAAATTCACTACAAGGTAGCAATGGGTCAGCTTGATTCCCTTGAAATTCTGAATCTTTTTATATAAATCTTGTCATTTGCAACAACTGGATAGAACTAGAGAGTATTATGCTAAGCGAAATAAGTCAATCAGAGAAAGACAATTATATGATTTCACTCATGTGGAAATTAAGAAACAAATTAGAGAAGCATAAGGGAAGGGAGGGGAAAACAAAACAAGAGGAAATCAGAGAGGGAGACAAACCATAAGAGATTCTTAATCATAGGAAACAAACTCAGGGTTGCTGGAGGGAAGGGGCGTGGGGGGATGGAGTAACCGGGTGATGGGCATTAAGGAGGGCATGTGATGAATGAGCACTGGGTGTTATATGCAACTGATGAATCACTGAACTCTACCTCTGAAACTAATCATATACTATACGTTAATTAATTGAATTAAAATTTTTTTTAAAAAGCTAAATAAATGTACTACCGGGAGCAATGGGTCAGCTTGATTCCCTTGAAATTCTGAATCTTCTTATGTGAAAAAAAAATGCTGCAAATTGCTTCAAAAATATGCAAATGCACGTAAGAATGTCAGAAGACTAACAACAGGAACAACCTATACAGTTTGGTGTTTGGTAAACCCATTAATATGGTCTCGGATTCAAGTTAAGTAATAAACATTTCCCCATTTCCCAGGTATTGTCTGAGGCATCAAGAACAGAGCATTTGAAAAAAGTCTTAATAGATGCTGAAGAACCATGACTTTGCAGGTGACTTGACTTACTTCCCTTGTCCTCTCACTGAAATGATGACAGGCCATGCCAAAGTGCAATAGTGACAGAATCCCCAGAGCTTTGGCACCCCTCTAGAATCTATGATACCACGGCAGAACTGAGTTCCCTTAGCCAGGAATATGAAAAGAACCATATCGTAACAAAATACTGGATTATATCTTTTATATATCAAAGAAAAATATGAGTGAAATCATAGTGTCTGTGTTCTTTTTAAATAAACTATGAAATATTCAAGAAAAAAAATGGAAAATGTCACTCAAGGGGATCACTTATCCAAACCTGAGATAAATTCGAGAGAGATCCCTGAAGATTGCTAAAAAGTAACGTTGGCCTTTTAAAAATCACTGACGTTTAAAATCATTACTAAATGTTTATATTTGTTCCATTTTTGTATTGAAAAATAGGAACATGAATGGGAGGAAAAAACAAAACAGCCACTATCTTAAGCACACTCGTGATGATATAGCTCATTAGAACAACTCTCAGTGCTAAATGAATTCATGTGTTCCATTTAGCTTTTGATCTTAAGTCTTTAGAAGAAGAAGGTGCACTTTAATTTTCAATTAAATTCTGTGGGTGTGATATAAGTGTTAACATCATCCCCATGGTATGGCACATAGTAGGAGGTAAAAAAATATTTGTTGAATAAATATTAGCTGATTCAGAGCAGCAACTAGCTATACAATAATGAGACTCTATCTCTGTATATGCACATGTTCTTATCTACATTTTGTACATATCATAACTCTTTATGTCAATGTACAACTGCATGAAACAGGCATCATATTATGGGCCAAAGAGACCTTTGTTAGTATATTAAAAATGTATTTCCTGAAAAATTGGTCTCATTTTAATAAATTCATGTCACTTCTATTTTGCATCTTTAAAATGGTTTATGGAAGGGAGAATGATTGTAAACAGTATAGTTCTATAATTTAAAATCATTTTTCATGGAGCATCCTCCCTCTCTCCTGCAAGACCGAAAGCTCCCTTTGATTTATCTAAACTTTAAAAGATTAAGAAGTGCATAAAAAAATACAGCAAAGTGGAGAAATAACGGAAAATCCTGATCTACATTATCAGAAAATCTGAACTGTCGGGATGTTATTAAGCTCAAATTAAGATTTTGGCAATTAAAACTAAAAATAAGGATAACAGTAAGAGTAACTTTTCTGGCCAATCTACCATAAATGTTAATAAAACTGGTGCCATCAATGTAGGTGCAGCCCTTTGTCAAAGGTAAAGATGAGTCTTTTCTGTTGTCACACAGAAACTGCTATTTACAACTATTTTTACATATGTACATATTTATAAATTAATAATTTATAGTCAGACATGAAGGGGGAAATGCAGAACTTACAAGAACAACATTTTAAAGTATCTAATAATGAATACCAGACAAGCATTTTTATTGCTTGCCCTCAAGCATGGTGCACTTTCTTAGACTGTTGCACACTTTCTTAAACTCTACCGAGGATCTAGGTTATATTTAAATGTGTAGGAAAATAGAATATCTTCTATTTCAGTATACAAATAAAGTGTATATGTTAGAACTATTTAGATAACAAAGAAGCTGTAATTGGAAGGGAATTAAAGAAATAGATTTATCAGCTCATGTAACAATTTTATTTTATTAAGGATTACGGATTACCTTTTGTGAGGGAATTTTTAATGTCAAAGCTGTCTTCACGGCAAATTCTGTTAATAAGATGCATTTGTGACCTTGGTATTAATACAGTCATGCAAAGCACATAATAGAATCACACTAAAAGAAAGAAAATGAAAAAAAAATAAAATTTAAACGAGGCAAAGGAATAGCAATTTTTGTCGTGATTTTGCTTATTTCCGTAAGATACTCCTTTTATTTGATTTTATGAACATACTTATTTATGCACTATACTGAAATACTGTACAAAACTGCAAGAAATGCCACTATTTGACTACTTATGTTTCTACAAAAACACCATCATAAAGGTGTATCTATCAGTAAAAGTCAACTAATAACTGCTAATGTAGATGTGAGTCAAAAGGATTTGGGGGTATGCCAAAAATGTTAAATCTAGGCATGAGACACAATTGTTAACTTCTGTTAATACATTTCAGGGGCATAGAGAGTATATTTTAAATATTAAAAGAAAAATGAATTTTACATATTAATAATTAGTAATTATATAAAATTGAAAACTGGTTTCTAATTTAGCTATTTGTGTGCGTGTACGTGTTCTAATTTAATTAGTGTGCATGTGTGGGGGTGGGTGTGTGTGGGTGGGTGGGTGTGCGTGCACAGACGTGCACTCATGTGTGTATGTGAACTAATCCAGAATCTGTTGGTGATGCTTTAAAGTTTCTGTTTAAAAATGTTCAACTCTTACCAAAACCTCTTCTGGTATACAAAGCTGTTGTAAATTTGAGTCAGTGAAATTTAAAGTCGCAATTTACAAAAGCAGATTTACATTAATTCTTATCTGAAAGCGCTGCTTCAAGACAGAAAAATGTGCCAACTAACTGCCCTTTCCTTTGTAATTAGTGGCTTCTGAGTCCTGATGACAAGAAGCCTTAAGGCAGAATTTGCAGTAAACAGGAAAGAAGAGAATCGTGTAAGTGCTCATCTATATGCTGGGACACCTATGAATTCTCATCGGTGGGAGTTTTTGGCACAATTTTCTAATCCAATATGAATGTTGCTCCACAGCAGCCAAACTGGATGCTTTTTCCAGTCTCCAGCACCAAGAAAATTTAGCTGATCAATTTCAGTACAACACATACCTGGAAAGAGTAAGACATATCTGTCTTTTTTTTTTTTTTAATTTAAGGTAGTTTCCAATGATTAAAATAATCTGTAGGATTTCAATTATTACTCCCAAATAAACTCTGATGCTAAAATGTAATGACCATGACATTCCGATAGTTATTAAATTCTAGGCATAATTAACATCCTGTCAGGAGTGACTCGTAATTATTTGAGCTTGTCATGCGGTAATATGTTGCTATAGATGCTATACAGAGTAATTAAAAGCTGATTTCAGATCTCTAGTTTTTCTTCTGATGTGTGCTAAGCTTCCAATTACACTAGCAGGGATTCTGAGCACTCATGAAGGGAACTGATGTGGCAGATACGAGGTTCTGTGATTTAGAAGAATTCATCTTGGAACGACAGTGTTACCTTACATTATAGTTAGGCAACAGGAGAAAATAGTCCTATTTAAGACCTAAATCAAAAGAGTTCATCAAGTGTGGTATGGGATCCCCACTTTCATCACTAGTGGGAAACAAATTAGATCATGTGAAACCCACTATAAACGAGTTCCTAGGGTAAATCTTTAAAAAAGGCAATGGCTCTTTGGGAATGGGGTGCTTTCTGCCTGTAGTTCCACAAGTTAGCAAATGCATGTCTCCGTTAGAGGTCTACTGGTAAGCTTTATAGCTATATACATACTGTACATGTTGGTTCACAAATTAGCAGTTATTAGTCAGACTGTACATAGCAAAACAAACAAAGTTCTATGTTGCTATACATCCCAAAGATAACCTGTGTCTAGATTCAAGGACTGACCCCTAATACAGGTTCTCTGTTTAAATACGTAGCCCAGTAAACTAAATTAAATGTACCAAACAAAACTGGGAAAACTATTCTAGACATTCTGTCAATTTTGCTAACACTGTTGAAGGTTTTCTTGGCCTCCGCTGGCTTGTTTTCCGGCTTCTTATTGGGTTCTGGCGTGGTTGCACTCTTGGAGATGGTGGAGAGAACTGGGTCTTTTGAAAGATTCGGGGCATAATTGGCAACAGCCACCGCATAAGCATTGTTCTGTATCATGACAGAGGCTTTTTCTTTTTTCTATTGAGAAATACAAGAATTAACACAATGTGGGTTGAGCCTGCTACTTAACATTTTCCAAACTCCAGTTCAAATTCTGAAGAAAAGTATCTTGATAAACATCATTATCCATTAGAAAGATGAAATTTAGGGAAATAAATAAAAGGAGTCCTGAAACCATGAGGAAAGCTCCAGAGTAAAATCAAGGATACCATTTTCTTGGAGAACCATTTTTTGTTGTTGTTTACACGGAAAAGAAACAATCAAAACCACACATCTAATAAACAATGCAACATTTTGACTCTTGTAAGTTATTCAAATATTTGCTGAATGGATGAGAGAATGAATAAATGAAATGTAGAAATATTTTAACAAGAGGAACGATCATCTACAATGACCACAATTTCTGAATAAAGAAATTTAACTTCCTTAACTCGATAACAGGATTTCTCTCTTTCGCGTCAAATGCTTTACTCATATGATGGGAAACTAACCATGTACAGTTGGCAGTGAAATAAATATTAAAAATGTGGGACAAAGATAAAATACAAACTTTGCTTTTTGCCTAGCTCATCCACAACCTGTTTCTCCTCCTAATCCCCACCCACTCGACTATGACTCACTATTACCTCCTGCCTGGACCAGATAACATGCTTTGTGCTCTCCTAGCTTCACTTGACCTTGTCCAATCATTAGACACATTACAGCCACAGGGATTTTTTTTTTTTAAGACATCAATGGGATCATGTCACTCCTCAGCTTAACTCTCTTAAACACTATCTCATGGAACTGAGAATAAAATCAGTAGTTCTTACCATGGCTTCTTTACTTCATTAATTATATGCTAGTCCCATGAAATAAGTTCAGTTTTCAAGAATACTTTCTTGTTTGATGCCTTTGGCCATGCTACTTCCTAGCCTGGAGGGCCTTCTTTCCATCCTGTTTTTCATGTCATCAATCCCCTCTCATACTTTGGTCTTGGCTTAGTCTTGGTCCTCAAAAAGACCTTCTTAACCACTCCATCTAGCACAGTCTTTTTGGCCATCTGCACTCTTCACAGCACTCAGATTACTTCTATCACGGCATTTTTCAAAATGTATAAATTCTTTCTTTAGTTGTGTAATTATTTGATTGACACCTTCCTTTCTCATTAGAATCTAAGTTCAATAAAGGCTGGTGCTACTTCTGCTTTGTTTACCATTATCAACTTAGCATGATGCCTTCCGCCAGGTAGGCACATAATATGCAGCTGAATTCATGAACCTTAAAATATAAATAATATTTACCTGCATTTCTATACTAGTATAAATGTCTTCTTAGTTATCTAAATGCAAACAAAATTGAGCCACCTATTAATTATCCAAAATAATGAAGAGTGTAAATCAACAGATTTAGAGGATCAACTGGCCTAAAACAGAATTTCGAATTATCAGTTATTTTCAATTAAGTATTCTCAAAATGTTCAGGTAAAATGAGATAAGAAAGGGCCTCTGAAAGCCCAGGAGGATCTGAAAACAGGCCTGGATTTCTTGTCCTTCACTGGCATCGGGTTTCTCCCTCTCCTCTTTCCCTTGCTGATGAGGCATTCTTCCAGACCTGGCTGGAGTACAGAAGGAAAGGGTTCAGGGTCCACCATTATGAAAGCTACAAAACAGCTTTTATTCTGTAATGACACATGCAGTTCCCATGTTACAAACGGAGAGTCACCCCCGACTATATAACTGATAGCCAGATAATAGCTAACACCTGTTGAGCACTAGGATGTGTCAGGTTGAGTGTTAAGCCTGAGGGTGTCATTTGTGAAAAACTTCACTCCTGGATAGGAGGTAAGTTCTATTGTTAACCTTTTATTATAAACTCCAAAATGGAGGTTAAAGAGGTTTCATGACATAACCAGGTCTCCTGTTTACCAAGTGGCTGAAAGATCACACAAACTCAGATGTGTGTGACTTCTGAACTTCTGCTTTAAACATCATACTGTGTGACTTTCTCTTTGAGGAAGCTATTTGAAACCTGGGAGTACACTTTTTCCTAAATTTCTCCAATTGAAGTTTGTATCACTAGGTCAATCCTCTAAAAAGACTCTTTAAACCATAAAGTATGTAACATATAGTGTTTATATTATCATTATTTCAATTCTACCTAAATATCATTTAAAATAGTATCAAATTGCACTTAGAGAGAATTTCGACTTTGGGAATGTTCCTTAACCTCTCCCTGCTTCAGCTTCCAGTTGGAAAAAAAGGGGGGGGGGCGGATAATTATACCAAAGCCATAATGAACTGTTGTGAGAATTAAATGAATAAATGAATATTCAAACCACATTGAAAAGCACAGCCTCTTAGTGGAGAGCAGTAACAGTTATAACTCTATTACAAGCTAAACAAGAATACTGGCTTATAAAATGTATAGACAATATACTTTCTATCTTTGGAAGAAGACATAAACATTGCATGGAGGAACTCAAGAAAGGAAGAGGGACGTTTAAGTTAGGTTAAGATTCATGGTGCAGGGCTTAGACATTTTCACAAAAAACTTAAATGCAAATGTCCTTTGTTGCAAGAGGAGTCTACAGATAGAAACTCTGTACTGACTCTTACCAACCTCCTTCCTGCCCAACGCAAATAAACTCCAGTTGTATATAAACCCACAGGTGATGCTAAAATTATTTAACAAACTCTGAAGCAGACGCACTAACAAATCAGAACAGGTACTTTAACTAATCTGAATGAATATCAGCTGTAAATACCCAGAGGGCTGTACCAGTATGTACCGACCAAATATCACCCCTGCATGTTTGTATGTTGGTGTTTTTTTTTAATCCCAATACTGTCGATACTATAATATGCAGTGTTAAAAATAATTTTAATGTATGTTTGTAACTTTTATTGCCTTAAACTACAAAGAACAAAATTTCATATTTTTTCTTCATTGCTCAAAGTATGGCTTCAATCTCTGAATATAAGTATAAACTTCAGAGGCAAGCTCCGTACCTGACAAGATGATGGCTTGACTTCACAATGCTCTCTTGGAACTTGGAAACTTGATTATTTTCAGAACCAACAGCAAGCAAAAGTGCAACAGTCATGAGTACTATCTGTAGTCAAAACCCAGTGGTTGACACCTGTAGTTTCTTACCAATTCATTAAATGAAGCACAGGGTACCCTCATGGTGCTAAACTTCTCAATTCCCAGCCATAGCCTCGTAAAGCCCTTCTGGCTCAGATCTTACAGTCTTGTTTTAAAGGATAAAATAACTCCCCTCAGTCCATTTGAGAGTAACTGTCACAAATCTAGAGTAAAGCAAATTGTTCCTATTTAAAATTATTAATATCATGTATATAGAGAAAAAATACTATTGAAGTCATAGCTGACTTATAGTTCTTAGATCTGCTAAAGCAAAGTACACAGATTAAATCCACATAATATATTCTATTACTGTTCTTTGTAAGACATAGATCTGCTAGTGATAGTATTAAAAAATATTCAGACTCTAGGCCATTACTAGAAGATATTACCTTGCCCTATTCATTACTAACTTCTATTAAAAAGAACCAAACTGATATGTTATAAATCCTCTTTGAATATCTATATAAGCCTCCGATCAAGGCAGACCATCAGCAGGCTGAGTACTTGGGCCAATGATTTTGACCTTTCTAGACTAATTCTACTTTATTCAGTGTGACCCTTGGCCTACACTCAGACCCTCAGCCTTGAAGAGAAATAGTGCAATGAAGTCTATTGTTGTGTTAACTCTTCAAACCAGGACTAACTGCCGCAAGATAATTTTTTTTTAAGATTTTTATTTATTTGAGAGAGAGAGAACGAGAGATAGAGAGCACGAGAGGGAAGAGGGTCAGAGGGAGAAGCAGACTCCCTGCTGAGCAGGGAGCCCGATGTGGGACTCGATCCTGGGACTCCAGGATCATGACCTGAGCCAAAGGCAGTCGCTTAACCAACTGAGCCACCCAGGCGCCCGCAAGATAATTTTTTTAATGTTCATGTTTCTATATGAAGTTTTTGTTTCTTTTGAGAATTAGGCAAGCTCTGATTTCTACCTAATTTCTCGTAGTCTAATTTGATCATTCTGTATTTCTGCTTTAAGTCTCTTAGGTAGGCCACTTCATATTAAGAATAAGGCCAGGTATGGTTGAAAATGTAAGTAAAGAAAATAATGTTAAATATGAAGAATGAAACCAAACAGAAGGAGAATGGGGGACATGAAAGCAACTGGACACTGCTATTTTCTATTAATTATAAGTAACTGCTAAGGCTTTTGTTACCAATACACGGATGACTGACATAATACTTCTCATCAGAATTCTTACCCATTATGTTTAAGGTAGATTTCTCTAGCAACATATTCCATAGGTAATTAAAACATAAAATATCCAGAAATGAACTCATGTTACTTTTACTCCCAACCTAATTCTGTACACCTTCCTGCATTCCCTAACTTGTGAATGATACCACAATTGAGCCAGGAACTGATAACCAACCCACACTGACCCCCTAGTCAGATCCATTTTATACCGACTCAGCTCAAAATCACTTCTTATTGCAATAAGTACTCCTTCCATGTGCTTCCATAGCACCCTAGTGTTTGTCTCAATAATGAAAAATACTTTTTTCACATATTTTTTCTTCCACTTGATTGTAAGCACCTCGAAAGCACAGACTGTGCAATGCAGAGCTCCTAGCATAGTTCCTAGCATATAAAAAGGCTCAAAAAATGTTTACTTTATACCAAATGACATGTACAAGAATGATTACTGTGACCAAAAATACATATTTAGAAAATATATAATATATAAAATATGAAGTATTTTATAGAGTAGCTATTGATTAGATTCATAAAAACTAGATTCCCATTGTATGTCCTACAATTCTGCTATGTAATGATCTTGAAAGTCCTCAATTTTACTATTCCACATGTTTATGGAAGTTGTTTTGCTATAATTGAGACTCATATAAGTGGGAAGGGGGAAAATGTGGCTAAACACAAAATCAGTAAATTATGT